TTCCAGCCCGTCTTCTTCCAGCACGTCACTGGCAACGGTGGCAAGCCAGATCTCACGGAGGCGGGCCAGAAGGTGCTGGAGCGAGCCCAGAAGAACGAGTGGTCACTTGAGGGCATCTTATAATGAGCGCCACCCCGTCTTTCGTACTCGACAAAGGCGGGACAAGGAAGAGTAGGTAGACGCGGATACGGTGAGCTGCTTCAGATTCGACAACGGATTTAACATATTGGCTTTGGTATACATAACGGTACATGCTGCCACAGAGGCGCACCCCTTGGGATAGACAAGAATACATCATGGTGATCATTGTTTTACGCGCGCGGCGGTTGGATGGCAGAATTATTGAAAGCGGATTGCAAGGCGGGCTGCGCGCACTCGTTGATCCGGAGTTGCAGGAGTTTGAATTTTCTTCCTTCCATCGGCAACAGCCCTTTCTCGCCAGAGAAGAAGAGTCTTAGATAGCACCCATTTTCTCACACGAATAAATTCCCCTTCTCCATGTTTTCATACTAGGCAGGTTTGGCTAGCTAAAGAGGAATTGCTTGCGTGTGAGGAGATGTCATTTGTTGTGCGAATAACTCAAAGGGCTGTCATAGCAACAGGAAAATCATGGTTAGCTTCATAGCTTGCATTGAGGCCGTCTCGATCTGTCTGTCATTACGCGTTTTGATTTTGGCATTTGGCTTTGACCTCGTTACTATTGTACAATAAGAGCGGCAATTCTTTTCGTTCTTTCCATTTAACACATTTCCGAATCGAACACAGTTTCCTACAGCTTCTCCTAGCCCTAATCGCTTAAGCATCGATGAAAGCCTTGACGTTGCTCAACCAGCGGGTGTACTCGCGCTGCTCCTTGACGTCGACGTAGTCGGGCACAAAGGTGGCGAGGGCCTGGGTGATGCCACGCTCCTCGAGGAAACGCTCCATGAGGACCTGGAGGTCGTCATCGAGGCTGCCGAATGGGGGACCGGGGTAGACGTCGGCGCGCTTCTGGGCGGCCTCGGGGTTCTCGATCTTGGCGACCTTTGCGTCGTCGTAGTAGAAGAGGTTCTCGACGACAATGTTGCCGTCCTGGGCGGTGGCGTCAATGTTGAGAGCGCCGCCCGTCTTGCCGGGCTTCTCGATGACGATGGACAGGTTGATGGGAGCGGCCGTCTCCTCGTCGAGCTCCTCGTCAAACTCTTCGTCGTTCTCCTCCTGAGCGCGGGGCTGGCCGTTGCGCTGGCCGGACTGGAGGCTGTCCTCCTCGAGGGCGTCCTCCTCCAGAGCGTTGTCCTCGGCGTAGGGGTCGTAGTTTGTGATGTCGGCAATCGAGAAGCTGACGGTGATCCTACATCATTGTTAGAAACGGTTGGTTCTGGAGCCAATTGAGGCCGCAAAACGTACTTCTCGTCGTTGAAAGTGCGCTCAAGCTTGACAACCTCCTGGCCAGGAGTGTCAACGAGCTTGAAGGCGCTGTTGTTGAGGAAGTCCTTGATGCTGGCGGGCTCCTGGTCGTTGGCCTTCATGTCCTCCTCGATCTGGAGCTCGCTCTCGAGCTTGGCGGCGAGCTCCTTGTCACCCTCGGCAGCCTGTCGGAAAACAGTAGTCGAGAAGGCGGCGCGGGCAGGACGGGCGAGATTGAGGGCTGACGTCTTGACAAAGGTGCTGGGACGAGCGGACTGGCGAAGGGTTGTGGCGGAGATGCGTGCCACGGCGCGGGGCGCAGATCGGGCAAAGGTGCGTACGGAAAGCATCTTGGAATATTTAGAATTGAATTGATAACGGTGAAAGTGATTGGCGTGGGTGAGAGGAGATAGTGTGTTGGTGGTAGCACAAGAAAAAGTCTTGAAGATGCAAAAGCTTCCAGAGCTTCTTTGGAAATTTTTGGTGGGAGAGCCGCTAGCATGACTGACAATTGACTGGCTGCCACTCGCCGGCTGGAGCGTTCTCGGCAAGAAGCGGAGGACGCACGGTCTCACGTGATGACGCGGGTGAAATCGAAGGCATGCAAACTCCCAAGTTCTTACCCTGTAGTTATTCGCGCAATGGACAGTTAGAAAAAGACTTAAGGTTTGTCCAAGATGGATTATTAAATTGCAAATTACAACTATTCGTACCGCAAATGATCTCGATCATGGTTCTTACATATATCATTCATCGTCAGCCAAAAAATGATCTCAAGTTTTGTTCCTCCATCACGTCCACCCAATGAACCGAATTGCATCCAGGCATCTCGCTATCGTACGCAGCCCAAATCGCTTGAACCAGACTCTTGGCCATGATGATCGGTTTTGGAGGCAACGTATTCTCCAACATGTTTAGTCGTTTCAACACAAATGCGCGAGCGTTCCCGACGTCAATTGACATCTGAGTCGGCAGGTTTGAACCTCCTGTGGGTTGGTCCACGCTGTCTAGTTGGTTCATAAACTCGGTAATGTCACAGCTCTCTTGATGAACTCCAAGCGGTATGTCGTTTACTGGAGCCTGTGCCTGCAAAGATCCGGACCTCCAGGCATCGGCCGGGACGTCTAACCTCAAGCCGGTGCTGGCAGTAATACAGAGCAGTGGCTGCACCATGCGGCTCCCAGACTCGGCTGGAATGTGCTCCAAGATATCAATGAGGCGGAGACTGAGGGGCACAATCCACTCGTCCCAGGGGACAGGACCAGGTCTTGACGAAGATGACTCATGCGGTATGCGCAACGCAACTAGATCCGGGAACGTCTGGTAAAGCTGCAGCAAGGCGGCTATCCGGTACGCCTCTGCGACTTTGACGAGGTGCACACAAGGCGTGTGTTGATCTCCAGTCTCGCTCATTGGAACCACGGTATCGTATTCCAGCTGTAATAGCTGTTCTTCAATCCTGGGCGCCTCTTCCATCTGCTTCAACACCATTTCGATGTCACTCGGTGTAGGCGCTTGCTTTCTCACATTGTGACGGAAACTGCGACATAATCTAATCGCTCTGGTAAACAAAGTGGACGCCGCTGTTGAGATCCCGGTCCATGGATGTGGAATATCGTCTGTGCGCTTTGATGCAACGCCGGGGGGGGATCCGGGGGTTTGGGCCGGCTCCTCGTCCATGGGGAACTGTGCGTAGTCATAGCTTACGACGGATAAGAGCATGTCGCAATACACCCAGCTCTTGTTGAAAAAGTCGAGCAGCTCGCCGTCTGCATGACTAAGTATAGGGCGCTGCTGATTGATCTGGTCGAGCAACGACTTCGCTGCTCTCAAGAAGGGAATTCCTAGCTGTCCCGCCTCTATCCAACAGAGTGTGGTGCCAAGGCAGAAAAGGGAAAATAACAGGCCGGTGGGAATAGAGTTAACGAACTTGTAATTCCTTGCTAACACAAGTTCGTTGTGGATAGATTTAGTGGCATTCTTCATCATGGAGAGCGAGGTGTCCCTTAGATAAGGGATTCTTGTGGCCAGAAAGGATGCGGACATGCTCTGGAGACAAGCGGACACGGATTCCGATTCCGACCAAAGAGACGTAGCCAGCTGTCTGTTGAGATTCATGTCGGAATCGTATGCAGACCATACTGAACAAACGCTTTTAAACCACTGTGTAATGAGGACCGAAGGAAGGTGTGTGATGGGCGTCGGGATCTGGGTGCAATATTCGAAGTGTTGTATCGTTGTCGTAAGGGCCAAATGCGTTTCAGCATCTGGCAAAATTTCGACGTCGTCTTCCACGTATTCCGCTTCCGGGACCTCTGGTTGTTCGAGCATTGGGACGATCAAGTTAGCCGAGGAGCGTTCGGGGCTCCATGGTCCGGCGTTGTGGATAGGAGTAATAATTTCGGTCTGAGGAATGATATCGGGTTCGCTGGAATCCCAGCCGTAGTCGATTATCGGTAGTGGTGGTAGTGTGTGGGAAAAATCAGGGAGGTGAGCATCGGCTCTGAAATCCAAGGTCAAGCCTTCCAGAGGATATTCGGAGACACTTATCGAACTTGCGGGGGCTTTGGTCCTTTGACGTCCTTGCTCCTGTGTCTCGTCTTCTCCGGCTTTGGTCTTGGCCTTTCTGCGACCGCCGGCCTTGGTCTTCCGCTCATGTTTGTATGACCATCTGAATTCGCGCTGATAGCCACCGCAGCTCCATCCTTTGCGGATACAGACGAGGCATTCTGGCTTTGTCTCGTCGCATTTGAGCTTGAGACAAGTCAGTTTTCTAAACCTGTTGGGCTGTATCTGGTATTAAGAACATGACTTACATGCTTAGCTTTGCAAGTGTGGCATCCCGACCTGGACCGGGGTTTGCTCACGCCAGCAGCGGCTGTCTTGGTCGTCGTCGGCTTCGTTCCGACATCCTTCTGCTTCTGTTTCTGTGTCTGCTTGACTGATCCGGCCGTTGGGCCGCTGTCGCTATTTGTGGGCGATTCTGTCATGTCGGGAGGACTTGGCTTTGGGATAAGGCCATTGTATATGTAATGACGAGACTCAGAAATATTCGCTGATCATGTCAGGGGAGACGGAGATAATGATAAAGAAAAGAAGAGGGGATGGGAAAGGACGGGCCACCTGAAGCGATAAGAAGCGAGGATCTAACGAAGAAGGTGTACGGCAGTTAGAGCGACGGAATACCTTACAGTAATCCACCGTTCTATTGGCACGTGCGGTGCAGAATGCGGGGGGCGCCACTCAAAAAAAGAAGCCATCCTCTTATCAGGAAAGGACATGCATCGAGGTTCGCCCAACCACAAGCCAATCCACCGTTCCTACGTATTCACGTCCAGTAAATATCTACCCGCTCCACCGATTCGCGGGCCCTTCTATCGTCGACTTTGTCATGTTGCTTTACTCTCACTTCTTATCGGATTCAATGGCCAGCTCTAGACCTATCATGATCTGTCGTGTCCTTCTCATGTCTACGTAACCTTCGGGTAGACAGCCGTCCAAAGGCCGAAGCCGATCCCCACACCCAACACAGTAAACGATGGCAGACCACTCCTCTTGGTGGGAATGTTGGAGTATAGTATCTCAGAGTGACCCCAATCTTCAATAAAAACCCGGCTCAGGTAGTCAAGTGGTTAAGATGCTTCGTTGTGGCGGCTCAACAGCCTACAGCTCCGAAGTGACCCCGGTTCGATTCCGGGCCTGGGCAATAAAGCTCACGGGCGCACTTCTATTTTTTGCAATTTCTTCTTTTTGGTGTTCTTTTTTGTCTTGAATATTGAGGAGCGTAAGGCGGGAGGAGAGCAAACAGCCAAACTTTTTTTTAAAGAGCTGCTCTGCTCGTACACTGCCGAACTTATTCTGGACTTGGAAAACCGTTTTGGTTAACAGAAGAAGCCAAGCGAGCTTTTCGCGCTGCTTGGTGGTTCGGACAAGTGGGTTCAATTCCTATTGCCTTGTAGGTACGTTAAGAGGGTAGACAGTTTTGTAAATGGATTTTAAGTTTGCTTGTTCCTAGAGAATGCTGAAATAATACATTTCTATCATGTCTAATCATAACTCCGTTTGGATATCCAACCTAATGCTAATAAACCGCTCATAGCTTCGTCTTGCAACACCCGCCAAGCGCCAACTCGCTAACCTTGTCAGTGGCGTCCATTGCTCCTCGTCCCTGGGCCGCAACCTGGCTGGGGGTGATGGAGTAGGAGGGTGGCACATCCATAACAGGGTTGCAGGAGAAGAAGTGACGCGGCCGCAGCAGCAGCGTGATAGGCTCAGCAGGCATGACGGGGAAGTCCTCTGGCGCAGGGAAATGCGTGATGCCAAAGGTGTGCCAGAAAACAACATCAGTGTTGGCCACAGAGTCGGTACCGTCGCCGATCCACTCGGGGAGACCCTTGGAAGGACCGCCAGAGGTCTGAGGCACATGGTCACCAGCAGGCCAGAGCTGATCATCGGCGTCTATGTAAATAGTTAGCATCTATCGGGTTTCATCTTGTTTCAGTTTGCGGCCTTACATCTGGTAACATGCGTAGCGTGGCGAGCAAAGCCGGCTCGCTTCCAGACAAGCGAGCCCTCCTTGGGGAGCAGGTTGGGCACTTCTCGGCTCACAAGCTTGTATGAGACAGGCTTGCCACTGTTGGGGTTGAGAACGTTCTCGTTGACCATGTCCCACGTTCTTGAAGTAGCACCGTTGTAGTTGGTCATGGCCTGGGCCGCGGTCTCGAGTCTCGTTCGCTTAGCGTAGAAGCCGTTTCCGTAGAAGTTCTCGGGGCTGCCGACGGGAGCGTCTGAAGGCACGGCATCGACCATGTGGACTGAGTTGTTTCCGCCATCAATGTTGGGGTTGATGCGAAGGCAGAAGAGATGCTGGTGGTTGTGGGCGTTGACACCCTTCCAGACCTGAGTGCCCCAGCCGTTGGTGTCCTCACCCTCGTTCATGACATAGGTGTTGAGGATACCGGTCAGTCTGATGTCAGGCTGGATGGTTCCATCTTGGTGGAAGACCCATTGGACGGCATACTCGTAGTTGGCAGCAGTGAAGATCTGCTGGACAATGAGCTTGCGAGCTCGGGTGACAATGGTAGAGTCATCTCTGAAATCGGTGTGCTTGAAAAGAATGCCGTCATCCTCCTCGTGGATGCAGATAGCGTTCTTGACCTTGCGGACTCCACCAGCCTGAGTGGGCATGAAAGCATCGAGGTAGTGGATGGAACCCTTGCAGTCACAGCCAAGAGCGAGACTGTTGGTGAGGTAACCAGCGCCGTATTCACCGAGATCGAAAGCGTGCTTGCGCTGATGGGGGTGCTCAGGGTTGCCGTATGGGACAACCATCTCGGCAAGGGACATTCGGTAGAAGATGGGGCGAACGTTACCCTTGTCGTTGAAGGTGATGTTGTTCAGAACGATACCTTCTCTGTAGTTGAAGCCAATGTGGAACTTCCAGTTCTGCCACTCAATCTCGCGGCCAGTGCCGGACATCTTGAAGGAGACACCCTCGGGCTGGGTGATGTTGATAGGCTTCAAGTTCGTCCGGTAGCCACCCTGCTTCTCAATGGCAAGGTGGTGGTACTCGATAGGGGATTCTAATCGCAGAGGGCGGCGGATCTTGGGAATATCGATGGCGACAATCTTCTTCTCAACTGAGTTCCAGATGGGGCAGAAGTCCAGAGGGTACTGGTACTGGCAGTTGTCGACATCAGGGCGGAAGTACATCAACGCCTGCTGGAGTCGAACGTTGCTGCCGAAGCGCTCATCGTAACCAATGGTCCAAGGATCACAGTAAACCTTGTCCATCTGATCGCGGGGAACACCACTAAGAACGCACTGCTCGATGACCTTGGGGTCGACTCGGCATCCGTGCTCGACAGCGGAAAGCTCTTCGACAGTGATCTAATGATCCAATTAGTGTTTGCTTATTGGGGCGAGGGAGGTTGCGTTGAGCCTTACAATAGGCTGGGCACCGTGAACCTGTTCCCACTTGGTGATGGTCGGGCCAGAAAGATCGACAAGACCTTCATACACCTTGCCGCCCTGGGCAATGACCACTACGTCGGCAACACGGGGAGGTCGGGGATAGTTCTGAGAGTCGGCGAGCCAGGCGGTCATGACAGCCTTGCGAGGCTCCTGGAGAGAGACGACATGGAAGTTGACCTCGCCATAGGCCTTCTTAACGACGCCAATGGCAATCTCGATTTCGACGCTCGAGAGCGGGTCGAAGGGGTGAGGGAGATAGACAGGCATGGTGAAGTTGTAACGTCTGAAGACTCTTGGAGAGGGGTGAATCCTTGAGACGATTGAATGCTTTGACTTGAGAGCCTGATCTATTTCGGAGTCGACTGGGAGGGAGGGACATGTTGGAGTTTATATCTTGATGAATGTCTCGGCCGATAGCTACTGATACTGATAGGGACTTGACTCTTTGACAGCCAAGTCCCGACTCCCGAGGCGAGGCGGCGGGCCATGATCCATCAGTGCCTCAGTGGAGACAGATCATGTCGTCCATTCGGCACATGGATGACAACCCAATCTGGCTAACCGGCTGGATGGCGAGTATCGTCTCTGGCCAAATCGCGGGGAAGTTTGTCGTGGAGGGGCACGCTGGAACGCACAGGTCGGGTCCATTCTCCCTCCCTGGGAATTCGAACCGGAAGAAGCTGCGCTGAGTGGACGCTGCATGCTTAGGTAAGTCAGGGCCGTATCTTGCCTACCTTTGCACGCTTATCGCATTTGCGGGGTAGCTCGACATGCTATCAGGCGCTAATCCGGAACGGGAATTTTTACCCGGTCGACGCTCTTCGCCTTCAAAGCGCCCGCAGACGATACGTAAACATATCGTCTATCAAGGCTGAGGAAAGGGTGAAGTTGCCGCTTCGATTCTAGTTTGTTTGAGATCAGGGTCCAGGTTGGATGCCACCGTCGAGGCAATAATTTCCTCCATTGTCGTAGCGCGACGGATGGGTGCAGGGCTCGGCTTCGGTCTGGTGATCGGATGCATACCAAGCTCCATGGAAGACCTTCCGAAGACTCAGCTAGGTGTTATTGCCACGCTTCCCAAGAGATCGTTATTTTGTTCTATTTCGGATTATTTTGGCGATTCAAGGAATTGCAAAAGGAAACAACACGGCCAATACAAATCGCATTAGGCAATCCCAGCCAGCTGGGAGATCCTCCCGTCCAAGTATGGGATGCGGTTGAAATCGCCCTGACCGGCCATTATGCCCCCCGTCACGCTTGCTTTCAAGGACATATCATGGACTACACCTCCCAGTGTTTTTAACAAGACTATGATGCCCTTGGCCTGACTTGATCTCTTCGACATTCCCATCTACCTTGTATCCGCCTCCCGTCCTCTTTCATAGGCCAAGCATTGCACTTAACCCGAGTTTAGCCCAAAGTCTTTACACACCCCTCCAGTTGTCTCGATATACCCTGTTGGTATAATCCAGTTCGTATCCTATGAGGCTCAAATGCTAATCCCAGCCTAACCGGGATTACCGTGAGACTCATGCATGGAACCGCCCTCGAGGGCGTGGGTAACACCCTCATCAGGTACTCCTTTGGACCGCCTGGCGTGTACGGCTCCTGTGCCGTGATCCGTCCAGCCAGTTTTCCAGCCCATCGTTTCAAGCTTCATACAGTTGTCTTCTAAGATACGTAGTTCGCATCGCGCAACGGGCGTCGTGGGTTGAAGGCCACAGCTTACAACGTCCCGCTGATAAGATATTTACACCGAGTGATAATGCGTCCACTCGATCGATTTAGAGCGTGGGTGAAATTATAACATGATCCCCTTTCAAAATCTGCATAAATAAGATATCGAGGCGTTGTGTATTTTCGGCTTCTGGAATTCTTGGCAGCCTCGTGCATCAGTTACACCAAGTATTGCTATCCTCGATCAGCTACATCATTTGCCACAACAATAGTAGCTTAAGCCTATCAGGGTACGACGGGTGACCAATTGCAGCCTCGTTTGTCAAGATTGACAATGGTTGCCATGACATTTGCCATTCTAAAGTACACCAACAAGGCCGATCTTCGAGAACATGGTCAACTAACCAGCTTGAACAAGCACCTGGATTGCCCTCGCTGGAACCATGGGCCTTGCGATCCCACCAGGAGGCTCCGCTGCCTTTCTTTGTGGCTTTGTGTTCTGTGTCTTGTGCAATTTCGCCGTTGTTGCCAGCTTGGGAGAGCTCGCCGCTATTTGGCCTACAGCCGGTGGTCAGTATCGCTTCGTCTACGCCCTTTGCACCGAGAAGTGGAAAAGAATTAGGGTATGAACTATACGCTTCAACCAGCTGTGAGAGGATGTCTAATATTTGTACTAGAGCTTCCTGGTGGGCTGGATCAATATCGATGGCTGGCTCACCCTTGTCACTACCAGGCTTCTTCGCAGGTAAGGGTCTTGGGCATTGTAAGATATTCATTTTAACCAGTCCTCAACTCAGTTCATATCTGCCGCAAGCGTCATCGCATCAGATGGTAGAAACGAAGTGGAAGCGTGGAAGACATATCTCTTCTTCGTAGCCATTGTGACATTTACTACGGCTTCCAACATCTGGGGGTAGCAAAATCCTTGGAAGATGGAATGGTGTCGCATGTAAGTGACCCAGCTCGATAATCGAGCTGAATAGAACGTGTGTGTTAACCCCATCTTAGTATACTGGTCGATCCTGAGTGTGGTCATTATTAGTATCGTACTGTTGT